CCTCCCAGAAAACATATAACAAGGATGTTACAACCCCTAAGTATACCGGAGTGGAAGTGAGAGAATATAACAATGGACTTCATAGTATGACTACCTAGAACACTGAAGAGCTACACAGTGATCTAAGTAATTGTCAATTGATTGACTAAGTCAGCCCACTTCCTACCTTGGAAAACAACATCTACAATTCACAACTGGGCTCAAATATATGTAAAAGAGATAGTAAGACTACATGGAGTCCCACTGTCGATAGTTTCGAATCGAGACCCACACTTTACGTTGGCGTTTTGGGACGAATTTCAAAAGTATTGGGCACTCGCCTCGACTTTAGCACCGCTTTCCACCCTCAAACAAAGGGTCAAATGGAGCAACTAAACCAAATCTTAGGACATGCTATGATAAAATTGTGAGGGTTAGATAAAAGCCTACGGTCTTTTTATTTAGTTTTTTCACATTTTTACTCAAATTAATTAGTTGAATCTTTTGACCATTTGATCTAATGGATTGCCATATTTTTAGCCATATTTTTAGCTGGCTTGGACCATGTAGGGAAGTGGGCACATTTACGTGGCCACTTTAGCATTTTTAGGGTTGAATAGTTATGTAAATAAGTCAATTGAATGAGAAACAAATCTTTTTCAGTAAAATCCCAAAGCTTCAGTATTCTTCCTCTTTTGGTGCTTTCTATTTTTCTTTTCCCAACAATTCCTTTGGCAATTTTTTTTGGTCAAGATTTTCTCACCAGCAGAATCGCTCAGTCAAAGATAGCAATGAGGTTGCATGGAGTCCCGGTATCAATAGTGTCAAATCGGGACCCACATTTTACGTCGGCCTTTTGGCGCAAACTCCAAAAAGCGTTGGGTACCCGCCTTGACTTTAGCACTGCCTTCCACCCACAAACTGATGGCCAAACGAAACGGTTAAATCAAATCCTAGAAGACATGCTTCGGGCATGTGTTATGGATTTCACAGAGAGTTAGGACACTAAACTACACATAGTAAAATTCTCATACAACAACAGTTTCCAAGCAACAATCGAGATGACATCGTTTGAAGCATTATATGGAAAACGGTGTAGATTCCCATTGTGCTGGGACGAAGTAGAAGAATGAGAACTGGTAGGACCCGAGCTGGTTCGCATCACCAATGAGACGGTACAAAAAATTAGAGCAAGGATTGCGCATCGCACAAAGTAGGCAAAAGAGCTATGCCGACGTTAGGCGTAGGAACTTAGAGTTCAAAGAGGGGGACCCAGTGTTCCTAAAAGTAACTCCTATGAAAGATGTTCTCAGATTTGGATGTAAGGGAAAGCTAAGCCCCCGCTTTATCGGACCTTTCGAAATCCTAGAAAGAATAGGTTAAGTAGCATACAAACTAGCCTTACCACCTTCATTCTCGAGCGTACACGATGTCCATGTGTCCATGTTGAGGAAATATATTACAGACCCTACGCACATGATAGACTACAGACCCCTCGAGATCGAGGAAAACTAAAGTTATTTGGAGAAACCGATTAAAATCATAGCTCGGGAAGTGAAAGCCTTACGTAATAGAAACATAGGTTTCGTCAAAGTATTATGGCGAAACCACCAAGCCGAGGAAGCGACGTGGGAACAAAAAGAAGAAATAAGAGAAAAATACCCCGAATAGATCTAGGAGTTCGAGATTTTCGAGGACGAAAGTTCTTTTTAGGGGTAGATAATGTAACGGATCAGATTAAAAAAATATTAAAAAAAAAAAAACTCTACGGTTGTCGGCGAGACCGAAAACTCCGGCAAACCTTATCCATATATTATAATGTAACGATTACAAAGTAGGCCATATCAATAGTGTTACTAGGATAAGACACCCAACCTGATCCATATACTATAGACGCTTGAAGTTATTACTTGAACACGATCCTCTTGTATGTCAACCACATATTGTTCAAGATTACATTAATAACCTTGGATTTTTATATCATGGATAACAATTAAATTACCAATAAAATAATAAAAATTATTGTTAGAAACTAAATAATTAATTATGAGGCTTTAGGGCATAAATCCCAATAGATTGTTATGTCTGAAAGAATGAAAACGTTATGATATGATATATGTGCGACATGAATGATATGATATAATTGACATGCAAAACGACGAACTAGCATGAAATACAATTCTGACATACGTATGAAAAATATGATAAATGATATAAGAAATGATATCCTAAATGATATGAAATGAAGGAAGACACAGTGAGGTTGTATTAAATGATAATGAAAATGAAAAAAATGTTTTGACCTCATACATTACTGTGTGCTCATGCATTGGAGGGTACTGCTTCTCCTTCACGATAGTACAGACGCATACGCGATGAGGCAAGAAAATGATCAATATATTTATCATAAGCTACCGTGATGATCACTATCCTAACGGGTGTCTGGCATTAACAACTATCAAAGAATTCTCGCCCGACCAGAAAAGGGCCTAAGAAGTGTGCAAATCGACTAGTGGGTTCATACTTGCGTGTGTGGATCGTATGTAGGAAAATTAAGTACACATCTAAATTGCCCGTTTAGGATAGCTGCCGTAGGAAAATAGACTATTATGATAGGTCTCATTCATGGAATTGTATATGTCTTTATTTAACCCTGATAGGGAGTTGTTTACTGAGTATTTTTTAAAATATTCAAATCATGTGCTACTTTATTTTTCAAGTAAAGACAAGGTTCCCCTGTATGACTGACGGTGGCATCGCAACTAGGAGATCGTGACATATACTTAAGGTAGTTTCGTATTTTGAATTTGTAGACTATAGGTTAGTATAGGTTTATTGCATTTTCATTTAGTAGCATATAGGTTAGTGTAGGACGTTTTAACTTTATGTTATTTCACGTTATTTCAATATGCATTGTTTTATTTTAAAAGCCTTAGAAGCTAGAGGTTAGAACAAGGTCAGGTTTTATTATATAGTTTCCAATGAGGTATTCTACATTAAATGTTTATGATATGTATAAAATAGCAACCTTAGGTTAAGTAAAAAGTTTAGGGTCGTTACAAAAAAAAAAAAAAATTCCCTGGCAGACGTGTTTTAAAAATCGTGAGGGAAAACTCGAAAGAAAAAGTCCAAATAAGACAATATGTGCTGGTAGTGAGTTTGAGCTATTACACATCCTCACTGTCAGTGTCCTGCTCCATAATGCATGTCTCATCTTAATTCTTAGTCTGCCCTAAAATATTGTTCAGATTTCATATTAGTTTTTGTTCTTTTCTAATTTCTTTTTATTTTCACAATTTTTTCTATGTTATTAGTAAACTTGTTTCTTCACCAAATTTATATAGTTTCAAACAATTTTTCAATCAAAATTATTTTCATTCTATTTCATTGAAGACTAGAGAAATAAGTGCATTCAAAGTAGGTTCAAAACTAGAAAACTCACCATTTTTGAGGTTCATGAAACTCACAATCCAACTATCTATTTATTTATGAAAATTATGTGAAATCCTCTAAAAATAACAACATATTAAAATTTCAAAACCTAATCCAAAGTAAATCTTTGGAACCAAATCAAGAACAAAAATATGAAACTCTTACCTCTCCATCTTCCTCCTAATTTTTCACTATTTCATATATATATATATATATATATATATATATATTTCTTATTTTAGGATTTTTCTAAGTATTTTACTCTTCTATCTCATCTTAAAATTCGATTTTGAAGGCTTTCAAGAAAATATCGAAAATTTAAACATATAAGAAAAATTGAGAAATTAATTCTCGTCAAACCTTGAATCTTACAGCTATCCTTCAAAAGTATATGATATAGATACAAGGCATTTAGCTTCACGGTAAGAATTAATATTGATTTAGAGACCTATAAGTAAGCTATTTATTGAGTACTTTTTAAATAGAACCTCAACCACAAGGACAAGGTGAGTGTGTTCTAAAGCTGCGAGAGTACCGAAGACCTGTTAGACTTGAATCATATTTTGACTCCTTGTATTTTAGGTATATGTTTCTTTTGCCCTACATTTTTGTGTATGGTCTCAATAGTGTTTCTTGTATACCAACCACTCTACTCCTAAATGGTTTTAAAAGAAAATTACTATTGAGTTATTTATTTATTTATTAATTATGCATTAATTAGTAGTGATTTATGCTGAAGTCCCTAAAAAAGCAACATCAAAATTGTGCCATTATAAATTCGCTTTAAATTTTTATTCAATAAGTAATAATTCACGAGTCGAAATTCTAAAAAACTTGAATTAAATCATGTCTATTGTTTAATTTGAAATTCGTAGGTGTTGCATGCGCCTACACTATACTCGTGATGAAAGTCTTTCATGTCCTCTTCCTCGTGTCTTTTGAGTAACTCCAATTATCTTTTACTATATTAAAATTATTTTCTTTCCATTTATGTCCTAATTATTCATTACATAAATAATGGAGGTTGAAATATATGTTTTAGGTCTCAATAATTTGTTAAATTAATAAATTAGCTTTAAATATATATGTACTAATATATTAATTTTGACACTTGGACATGGGGTGGAAGTATCATATTACAAAATAATAATCGAAAGAAATAAATTTTAGGTTTTCTATCTTTAATAATAACAGTCTTCACGACAATTTAATTTTGTTAAAAAAATGAAAAAAAAATATTATTACTCAAAATCTAAATAACATGGGAAAAAAGAAACTTTAATTTTCATATAAATGAATGACAGAGAAATTAATTTATATATGATAATCTTTTTCTCATACAACCTTATAGTATTTTAAACCAGAATAATTTTGTATAATAGATTTTCAATTTATTTTAAATGTAATAAAGCGAAAATAATTATAAATTATTAATATGCAAGCTCTAAATTTAATCAAGTTTTACCTAATACAGTTATAAATTTATAGGGTATTAATTGATTTCTTTTGCCTAAAAAATATAATAGATAAGATAAGTTTAAAACTCCTATAAATAATGTACTTAATATGGTTCATCAATGCACTTAGTGTAACACTAATTTTTCACTCTTGGGTTGAAAATGTCTCATCAAACTTCTTTGGTTTCTGTTTCAACAATGAAGAGCCCAAACACTTCTAAAGTTGAACGTCCTCTTGCAAAATATCATTCAAGCATATGGAAAGACCATTTCCTTTCGCTATCAACTGAAGCAATGGTAAATTAATAGTCTATGTTCATGAATTATAATATAATCATACTTATTTATTTATTATATTAAACTGTTAGATTTTTTACTTGATTTCTTCTTTTTCTAATTTCAGAAAATAGATGTTGTGATGGAAGAACGAGCTAAACAGTTGAAAGCAGAAGTAAAAAAGATGCTAATGATTTCTAATAGAAATCTTTTGGAGAAATTAAGTTTAGTTGATTCAATCCAACGGTTAAGTGTATTTTATCATTTTGAGAATGAGATTGATCAAATCTTAGAACAAATATATGCAAACTATAGAGACTTCACAAGTATTGATGGCGATGATGATCTTCACACTATCTCTCTTCTATTTCGATTGCTTAGACAACACGGTTATAGAATCCCATGTGGTAAGTTTATTCATATATAACTCTTAAACTACTGTATTATAATCCTTTGCAACACCTGAGATAAAAATATATATATATATATATATATATATATATATATATATATATATATATATCGAGACTTTGAAATTATAGGTAAACAAAGTTCTTTAAAAAGAAAATTTTAAAGAACTAAATGATTGTTTATGAATTTGGAGCAGACATATTCACAAAATTTGTAGAAAGTAATGGAAAGTTCAAAGAATCATTAGCGGAGGATGCAAGAGGAATTTTAAGTCTATATGAAGCGGCAAATATGAGGGTGCATGGAGAAGATATCCTTGAGGAAGCTCTTGATTTTAGTGTGAAGCATCTCAAAAATATTATGGCCAACTCAAACTCCAAATTTGGTGCTGAAATTGAGCATGCCTTGAAATGGCCATTAAGAAAAGACCTTCCAAAATTAAAGGGGAGAGAGTACATAACAATGTATCAAGAAGATCCTTCCCATTCTCAAACTTTACTTGCTTTTTCAAAACTGGATTTCAACATATTACAGAAACTTTATCAAAAGGAGTTGAAGGAACTCACAAGGTGCAATTTCATATATTTTTTTTCTCTAAAGTTTACTTCATATTTGTTAAACTATTGATATAATTAAATGTTATTTTTTTCTCTACTGCATGTTCGTTAAGTTATTGATATAATTAAATTTTAACTAACATACCATATCATAATTTAAAATGATACTAAAACATGACTTGAACTAAATTGTTGTCCATTCTTTTTCCTCTATAAGTTATATTTGCTTCTTATTTACGTATTTTATATTTTATAGGTGGTGGAAAGATTTGAATGTCGAAACAAATTTTCCTTATGCAAGAGATAGAATTGTTGAGTGCTACTTTTGGACATTGGGTGCATACTTTGAACCTCAGTTCAATGTTGGAAGGAAAATATTAACCAAAGTAATCGCCATTTCTTCAATTTTAGATGATACATATGACGCCTATGGAACATTTGAAGAACTCCAGATTTTCACTGAAGCAATTCAAAGGTAATATGAATTCATTCTGATCTTGACTTAGGTGCTAATAAATTTATTATTTTTTAAAAATACCCTACAAACTTCTACCAAAATTTAGAAATAGAAAAAAAAAATATATTTTTCCATAGTTTTAATAGTATTTTGAGAAATAGATTTTAATAACTTTTTGAGTAATATGAAGATTTAGAAAAATTGAAAATATTTTTCCAATATTGAATAGAGTTTTATAAATTTATGCATAAAGAAATTTTTCATGAACAATGGTGTTATTGAACTTTCAGATGGGATAGAAGCATGGTTAGTATACTCCCAGAGTACATGAAACCTTTATATATAGCAATGTTGAATCATTATAAAGAAATTAGCAAAGAAATAGGTATGGATGAAAATTCGTTTCACGTTCATACTACAAAAGAAGAAGTAAGCTTTCTTTGTCTCCCTCCTCTATCTTCTTTACTTCTGATTTATACATATAAATAAGAGTTATCCTTTTGATTTATTTTTACAGATAAAAAAGCTAGCTAGATCCTACTTTGAAGAAGCTAAATGGTTAAATCAAAATTACACGCCAAAATTTAAAGAGTATATGGAATGGGCATTACATAGCACAGGTTATTTCTCGATTATAAGCGTTGCACTCATTGGTATGGGTGACATAGTAACGAACGAGATACTTGAATGGTTTTTTAGAAAACCTAAAATTATTAATGCCTCAACCATCATTTGTCGACTCATGGACGACATCATTTCCCGCAAGGTATATATTGTTTACTATCCTTCAAAACCAACACAAAGTTGAATTTTTTAAAAGAAATATATGTTGTTATTTTTTAGTTTGAGCAAGAAAGGAAACATGTTACGTCTGGAGTTGAATGTTATATGGAGGAATATGAATGTTCAGAGGAAGAAGTTTGCGTTGAATTTCAAAAGCAAGTGGTTGATGCATGGAAGGACATAAATGAAGCATGTCTTCATCCACTCGATGTTCCAATGCCTATTCTTATGCGGATTGTGAATGTTTCAAGAGTCATCAACCTTCTTTATACAGATGAGGATGGATACACAAATGCAAATGGTCGAACCAAATTTCTTATCGAATCTCTTCTTGTCAATCCAATGCCTTGTTGAATATATGTTGCACCAACAATCTCTATAGGACTGAAAGTTTAGACTTAAATAAGTCCTTTTGGGTTATGGTGGTTAGAGTGTCTTAGCCACTCCCACTCAAGTTAGATTTTTTTTTCTTTTATTTCAAATAAAAACTATAATAATAATAAATCTACCACATCTTAGTAGTTAATTTTAGTTTCAATATCAAATTAATGTCACTATTGGTCTATGGTTATTTTTAAGCCTCACACAGAGTCGTACATGGTGATGCTTCACGGGATGGTTGTAGATCTTCTTCGTCTTCGCCTTCTTAGTTTATACGTTTGATTTTCTTTAGTCCTGCATTATTTGAACACGTACATTTACGAATCGTATTCATTTATTTTTTTTTTCAGTTTTGACTGCCTAAGCATGTACAGGCGTATAATAGCAATTGTAACATGGGGCTAAGAAGGTAGGAATCCTTATCACGTTTTCTTTTATTTTTATAAGTTTGATGAATTTTTTAAGGGTTTTAAGGTGTCATAACCTGATTTTCGAGGTTTCGTATCTTGAAACGTGACTAAAAACATGAAAAAGAAAACAAATAAAATAAAATAAATAAAAGATGAAAATGCGATAAAATTTAAATCAAACAAGATAACAAAGAAAATTAAATACAAAATAAAGTCTAATTCAATGCTATTTAAATTTATTTGGGACGAAAATTGAAAAAAAAAAAAAAAAAAAAAAAAACTCTGTGTAGGTCAAAAGAGATTCATTATAGACACTGAATTGATTCGATTTCATAAAATAAAAAAAAATAAATAAATAAATAAATAAAAGGAAGAACGAAAGGTTAGTTTTAAGTTTTAGATCTTAAATTTTTTAAATTCCCAAGTTTTTTATGGAATTAGTATTTATAATTTTAGTATGAAATGAGAATTCCCATTTGTATGGAATTAGTATCTATAATATTAGTATGAATTTTTCTCCGAATTCCCAAATTTTTTTTATAGAATTAGTATCTATAATTTTAGTACGTTGATCTTGGAGTATTTTTTCACCCGTTAAGTTGGGTTGATTCAATCCAACCATTAAATGTATTTTATATATGTGAACTATTATTATTATTAATAAAATAAAATAAAATCGATTAATTAATTAATTAATTAAAAAAAAACTGATCATCTCAAACTAAACTCTCACAACCTTGGTCTAAAATAACTCAGTCCACCTCTTTTAAAACAAGATATTTTGTATTTAATAATTAAGGAAAAAAAGAAAAAAAAATAGTAAGTGACTTTCAAGTTTAAGCGGATTTTGTTCGGCCAAGGAAGTGATGTCATTTGAATAGATCTCACAAGTCATATTTTACTTATACTTTTTCTTAGATCGAGTAGTATTAATTTAATTGTAATTATTTAGCTTTGAGTTAAAAATTAAATATCAAGAATTTTCTATGAATTTTAGGAAATTACGTTAACCTCAATGACTAAATAAACAAAAATAAATAAATAAATAATAGCATTGGCCAGAAATGATCTCAAAAGTACTAAATTGTTTATATATATGAGTACTAAATTTTTAAACATTTATTTATTTTATTTAGTTTTTTTGTTGTTTCGTTTTTTAAGGTGTTTTCAAGACACGTAAGTCCATGGTTGTGTTTTAAGATGAAGGTGATGTTTTATGAAAGTTTAAAGGAAGTATTTCCGCATTTAATGTTCATGTATCCCGTGGCGACCTTAAATTAAGTAGAAAATTTTTGAATCGCTACACCACTTCAAAAACAATCTAAATACGAATTAGTCCCATTTAATTATTATTTTACTTTCAAAGTTCAATTTACATGCTACTATAATAAATTTACTCATTTAGCTTATCACTACACTTTATAATTACATTTGAAAATTTTCAAATTAAAATTTGGTCATACTTTTAATAAATTTATAGGAAAATAAACTTTAAACGTTAACACATAAAAGATAAAACAAGTTTTCACCGACTTTAAACAAAATTTAAAATCAAATTGACCTTTGTCTACCATAAGTTACGAAATAAAAAATAAAAAAAAATCTTTTTCAATTACTTTTTAAACTTAAAAGAGCCAATTTTTCAACTTTAGAAACCTCTCGCACAAATATTTGAATAAACCTTTTATATTATCATAGCCAGAACATTATGTCTATAAACAAGTTTACACCAACTACAAACTATTCCTCATTTAAAATGGTCTATTAGATCATATTCTATAATATTCGAGAAATACTTTTGTTCATCCAAGAGTCATAATCTGAGACTAATGTTGGCATAAGGGCCCATTCTGTTACTCCTTTTAGACCTTGGTACATCGCCCACTATATAGAAATATCAAGTGGCTTAAGGTTTCATTCCGTTAATCCTTTTAAAGCTTGATTAAGCTGCTATGTTAAGTTTACCCACTACTATAAATTAGTTTAAGAATCTCTTAAAGAAAAATCTAGTTCAAAAAAATTATAAATTTTTTTGAGCATTAATGAGTCAAAAAGACTTCACAATCTCTCTTTAACATTCATGTTGAAACTAATGCTCTCAAGTTATAAACATCTTTTCGTTAGATAGGGATAGGATATTAAATGCGGAGTGTAAAATGAAACTTCTTATTAGAACGAAATTTCTTATTGAATATCATACCTTGTTGAATATATTTAGCTTCAATTTTAAAATTTATGCTTGTATTAATTATAAGAGTTAGAGTGGCTTAAATATAAAATGATTTTGTAGATTTAGTTTACATCCTTCTTCTTTATGTTTTGGTTAATTTATTATTTTTTATTAATGTTATTGTAGATTTATTTTAAATCAAAATGGTGAAATATATAAAAGAAAATAGATAAGAAGATAAAATGAAAACTAGTCAATGAAATTGAATTTTTTACTTATATTTATACTGAATTTTAATTAAACCCTCGACAAAATTTCAGAATTGGGTCCTGTATGGGAATAACAAAAACATATTATATTAGTAATATTATTATAATTAATTTTGTGTAACGTTCGTTAGTTTATTAAAAAAAAAAATCACGAAGTCACTGGAATTCTCGCATTTCACACGTCTCCAGAGCTCACACACATCCAAACGCTCTTGATATGAATCCAACAACTGATCACTTCCATGTACCCAAACGAGCAATTACAAGAAGCAATACAAAGAAGATTCAAGTATCAAATTAAGAAAATGATGGACTGGTTGGCATTGGAAAGTGATTAGAAGACTTGCCATTAGTAATTGAATTACCAATTAAGACAATTTATGAATGCCTTATTTTCTTCCATTTGTATTTAATAGCATTTATTGGTGATTTGTAGGTGGTTGTTGAACTTTATTATGTTAGGGTTATCTTTTGGGCCTATTTAAAGGCGTGTAATATTCATGTTTAAAAATGAATTGTTGAATACAAACAAAACCTTTGTGTTTTCTTGATACTTTTTGGTGTTATTCTTTTTCAAACCTTGCTTTAGGTATGATGTTTAAACCGATTCATTGAATTAGTTTTGATCAAGCTAATTCTGGAGTGAATTGTCTTGGTATCTAAGAGTAACCATCATAGATTCCAAGTTCGATCTAAGACTCATTTATCTTCTAACCCGCTCTTGGTTGGAATCAATTCGTTAAGTTAGCTTTCTCTGTGAATGTTTGCAAGGATTCTAGAAGGACTTCTAGCTTTACAAATTCCAGCATTGTAGGCGCTTATCATTTGGTATCAGAACATTTGGTCGATGTTCTTTGGCCGCTCTAGAGGTGAAATGTCTTTATTCTTTGGCCGTTCTTTGGCGGCATTGTAGGCGCTTAGATTTTTATTTTTTTGTATTTTCCTCTTATTTTGTATTCACACAAGCAATTCAATTTGGTCCCATAAAAAACAAAAAAAAATCTATAATAATAATAATAAATTTACAGCCTCTCATTCATGAGTCAATGTTAGTTTCAATATCAAATTAATGTCACATTAGTCAATTTTAGTCTCATTCATTAGCATTAATTCAGATACCTTAAAAACAAAAATCAACTAAGTTAGGAAACGTGTGAATAAACTAAATAAATAAAAACCATAACTTTTTATCTAACAATCGAGGCGGACTAAAACCCAAATCAATTTATGGTGGAGTACCTCGTCATCGAGTCGAGAGAAGGAGGAGTGCAGCATTGGGCACTATCACCGCCGCCAGCAGCTGCACCGGGTAAACCTACGCCAACACCAACCACGACTCCTGCTACGCCCCCTGAACCAGTGGAGTTCGCAACATCACGTACTGCAGATTCAACGTTGGATGCCGATCACGATGATGGTCTGGCAGCAAGATACCGGAGGATTGAAGACCTACTAGGAGGAGGTGAACCACTGAGACTGGTGGCACGCGAGCTCGAAGAAGAGGTGGCCAAACTACATGCCATCAGCGCGAATGAACTGAACTCTTTCGCCGAAGCAAAGAAGAACACGTGTTGGCTGAAGGCAATGCAGGAAGAGATGACATCCATCACTGAAAACAAGACGTGGAGTCTGGAGGACATGGCGACCGGACACCGAGCCATAGGGCTCCAATGGGTGTTCAAACTGAAGCGTAACGAATAGGGAGAAGTTGTGAAGTACAAGGTCCGTCTGGCGGCGAAGGGCTATGTCCAAAAGTAAGGGGTGGACTTCAAAGAGGTTTTCGAGCCGGTGGCAAGGTTGGAATCTGTCCGCCTGTTGTTGGCGATGCGGCACATCATTCCTAGAAGGTCCATCACATGGATGTGAAGTTTGCTTTCCTCAACGGAGAGCTGAAGGAGATCGTCTCTATTCGAAAACCACCTGCATGGCATGCACCACGACTCTGGAATGCGAAGCTGGACAATACCCTGTTGTCTCTAAAGTTCAAGGTTGTGCCTCTAAGCATGGCATGTACACGCACGATCACGGCGAGCAGCAGTTCGCACACCGCTGGGCCACTTTCCTTATCCGGTGGGCATACTCTAGGAGCCCCTTATGTCAGAACCCGTTAGAACTAGTAACTGTCACGACAGCGCTATGCAAAGCATAACGATCGTTATCCTGCCATTGGATGTACGCGTCCGTACCCTCGTGATGGGATAGGGGTACCCCCAAATGCATGAGCACACATAATGCATGAGGTCCAAAACTTTTCCATTTTCATTATC